CGCGCCACTCGGCTGGCCTGCAGTATAATTTTATATTTGGAAGGTAGTCATTCCTGCAAGAAAAGCAACAGGGGCAAGGAGAGAGGGGAGTGGGGAGGGAGCAGGGGGTAAAGCCTGGCCAGTTGGAGAAATAGCAGATCATTTGGGGCTGTGCTGAGCTCAGTTATCCCCCTCAGTCCCTCTTTTTCCCCCGGGTCCCCCAGCAGGGTCACAGCCTGGGATCCTCATCGTCCACACTCCCCGGGCTGCCATCTCAAGCACATTCCCCACTTTCGCCTGCGCTGCCACATCAGACCCCTGCTCACGCAGTTCTGTGTGTCCAGCAAAAGACAGAACATCTGTATGTATGTTCTCTTCATAGAGATGACCCAGTGAGAAGGAGCAGGACATACACATGAGCCCTGTAGCTTCATGGCTCACTCACTGTGGGGCTGGGTAGGCAGGGGTGTCGGCAGCACCTTTGGTGTTCAGAGAACGCTGTGCCTGGGCAATATGAGGTGGTGAGATCAGGCTGTTTAGAAACCAGGGCCAGTGCGTGTGCGGCTTTCTTGTGGAATCGAGTTTTATGTGGGTGGGTGTGGCTGAGAGGGGAGAGATGACATGTTGTCCTTTGACAAAGAAGTGGGCAATGGGCCTGAGGATTAGCTCCAGGAAGCTCCACGTCCCTCAGCTCCATCCATTTATTCATTCATCGCTCATCCATCCCATGTGTCAGGCCTGCTCCACCTTCATCAGACTTGCCATCTGTGGGGGTTGGCCATGAATGCGAAGGGACAGTGGTGATGTGGTGGCGAGGACAGCGATGGGGAGCAGCCTGTCAAGGAGCTCAGGGAGGCTTCCAGTCAGTAATCCCGGCTGAAGCTGAAGGGTGGAGAGAAGTGGGAGCAGCACTCCAGATGGGGGACCGCGCTATGCGGAAAGGCTGGGGAGGGTAGGTGAGAGGCGTGCAGTGATTGAAAATTAGTAGAAAACTTCAGGTAAAGTGACGCCAACAGATTAGGAGATGATTGCCACTGAAAAGAGAGTTTGTTCCTCACAGATCCCAAAAGAAGGGTCTCACTCCCACCCTTCTACCACACCACGGGATGGAAGCACCAGGGTAAATCAGGAGGCAGAGAGGGGACTGTGGGCAAGAGCCTTTACTGTGGCTTCCACAGGAAGAAGCAGGTGGGGCTAGGGAAGCAGGTTTAGGATTGGCTGGTGAGAATGATTTCAGTGGGCTCTGAGGCACTGAAAGGACAAGAGGCTGCCCTTGTCCTCTGGCACTTGTGACTGGGTGATTAGGGCCAGAGGCCCAGAGTGTGACAGCCTGTAGGGGAGATGGTTGGGGTGGAGGCTCTGAATTAGGTTGTTTGCACAAAAGGCACACTCTCAGGTTAGTTGTTCATTATCTCTAGGAATTGGCTGACCCTGGGAGGGGCAGTCCCTCCAGAATCAGCAAGTCCCCAGATGTCACAGCATCAGGATCCAAAAAATATATAAAAGACATAGTTCTGGGAGGCTGGTGATGGTGGGAGAGAGGGAAGGACTGATTGAACTCAGAGAGCGCTTCCTGTGCCTGCTGGGTGTCCTGCCCTGTCCAAGGTGCTGGAGAGGGGGCTCAGATCTGCTCTCAGACAGGCATGCCCTGTGGCCGCACAGCCTGTGCTGGGATACTCTGGTGGCAGGGCCAGACCAAGCACAGGGGGTCCTCCCAGGTGGCTATGCCCCTCAGGCCAGGCTGGTGGTCTCACCTTGTCCTCCCTACCTGAGCCAGTGTCAGGGCAGCAGGCAGGGTGCCAACCCAGCCAAGTCTAGGACGGCTCCAGCCTCAGTGTGTCTTGGTGGAAACAGTCCTCCATGTGCTCTGGCATTCACAGGCAGCATCATGGGGAAGCAACATCCACCCTAAGCTTTCATGAACTTTCCAGAAGGACTGTTTCAGAGATGCGTACCTGGTGTGCAAAGACCCCATGACGCCCCTGTGTTGTGCTCATGTTTCCTGCATAACTGAGAATTGGCAGGCAGGCATAGGAACAGGGACAGCCCAGGGTCTGGGCAGAGGACTTCAAGTCCTTAGTCCCTCCTTCCTTACCTTGTGACCTTGAGCTGTCCTTTCCTCCTCAGGCAAGTCACCTAAGTGCCCAACTGGCTTATCGTCACATCCTAGGCTCCTGGCACATGGTACCCACTGGGGACATGCTGGTGGGTGGAGGATGGAAACCCAGGACCTTGGCGGTTCAGAAGTGCTAACTGTGCACTTCCTGAAACAGAACGGTCTGCCTCTCAGGCTTTCAGACCTACCAGGCAGTGTTCCGGCCCTGC